CTCCATATGAACTAAGAAAAAAGTGACACTGTTTGTGACACAATTTGTAAACAACATTGTGGGTGAAGAATAGTGGCGAGACAAACAAATCAAAAGAGGCGTCAAAGTGGCGGAACCTGTCAGGACTTTCACAATAAAACCAGAGCACACAAACACATCAAGATTGTCATTTGAGCTTTAGGCCAGATCGCCCACCTGCAGCTACACTACAGGGGAAAGTTGAGAAAGCTTCATGCAAATATTTTGGGAAGGACAATATCTTGTGATCCGATCACAAGTGGACAGTTCACACCTAGTTAAGCTGGGACGATATCCTAAATGTAATATCTTGATGCAGTCCAATCCAAATATTGTGATATACGTAATGGTTGGCAGTTAGTCTGTCAACTGGTTCCCTCTTAACTCAGGCCAGCTCCTCCAAAATAAAAGCAATGCTGCCACTGAACAGCAGTTCAAAGTCTTATGTGTCACATACTGAGGTTCAATGTACAGTAAGCAAATAGAGAAATGACGGCCAGACTCGGCAACAGACCAGACTGTGCAAAACTGCAAAAATAAATGAATTAATCAAAAAAATTAAATATTATCGATGTTCAATATTATTAAATATCACAATATTTCCTGCCATCAGAGTTAGGTACAGCAGGGGGCTCTAGCAAACACTGGGCAAAAGGCAGGGTACATCGTGGTCAATCACAGGGCAGATGCAGAACAACCATTCACCTTCACAGTCACACCTACAGCCAATTTAGAATCACCACTTAACCTGCATGTCTTTGGACTGTGGGAGAAAACCTGAGCACCCAGAGGAGACCCACGCAGGCACCAGGAGAACATGCAACCTCCACACAGAGAGGCCCCGGGCAGCCGGCAGGTTCACACACAGAACCTTCAGCTGACCACTTCACCACCACTGTGACACCGAACAGGAAATAAATACTTTGAATAGATTTCATAACAACACAAGCATCAACTTTGTCCCTGCATTTTACTTCCCCCTCAACTCATCTTGAAGACATTTTATTCCAACAGAGACCAAGGTCATTTCTATAGACAAACGTTTGGCAGGAGAATTTCCAACAGACCAGACTGCATTTCAGAAGCTTTCTAATTGACCAGAGGTCTCTTTGGTTTGGTTTTTACAGAAGCTGATTTGGTTTGTTTGGATCTCTGGAGCTGAGCTAAGTGGGGTGAATCCTAAAAAGGAGGTAGGCTGATGTAACAGTGAACAGCACTGCTGAGGCTGCTCATCAGACTGCATTTGGACCAGCAGGAAAATACCTTTTAATATGACTGTGCTGCAAAAAGGACACAGAACTAAAACAAAGTGTCAGGGGAGCAGAGAGGAGATGACTGATAGCTACTGACTTCAGGCCAGAGAGCTTTCCTCTGTCTCATACCGACTGGAAGAACAGACAAATGCACCAATGAACCAATGAATAAATAATCTAAATATATACAACACCATCACTGGGTATTTCAAGGTCACTTAAAATAAATCCCAGATCTTCATAATGTCATAACATTGGAGGTTTTTGGTTCGGAGGCAAAGTCAGTGACACTGAGTGAAAGAACATGCTGCAGTCACACTGAGCCATACCAGTATGTGACTATGCAGAGCAGAGGCGATGACTTATCAGAATACTGCGACTACCATCCCCAAACAATGCAGATACTGCTGCTCACAGGTGCAGAGAGATGGAGAGAAGCAGGAAAACACGATCACTGCATTCCTGCCACATCTGTCCTCACAGCAGTGTACAGCACTACACCTCTCAAAGCAACTTTACAGCTTATTTATACACATATATGATGTATTCCTGTCCTGTCAGTCACAACTGGAGCAGAAACTGCTGCATCTCTTTGATGCAATCATAATAATATATGAAACCAATGAAGACATGAAAAGACTTTATAACAAGATCTGTGCTTGATAGTCCAAAGCTGTAAGTTAACATTATGGCCCAACCAATGTAAGGCCGCTCGATTATGGCAATAATGATGATAACGATTATTTTGGCTGATATCATCATTGTTCAACACGATTACTCATCAACTTTGGAAACATCATGTATTTATTGAACTTAGGGATGGCAATCATGTTTTTTTTTTTACCGCCAATACCGATATCGTCATCTATGAGTGAGACCGGCCGATCCACAGCTGACACTGATCATTTTTGTCATGCATTGCAGATGGTACATGTTACAGCAGTCTCACACACTTTGTAAAAGTTCCACACGGCTAACATCTTGTTTTCTTGTGGTGACCTGTTGCGCACCGTCACATTAAACAATGTGGGAGAAAGGACTACACTACACAGCACACAGTTCTTCTCTCAGCCACAGACACCAGAGTGTTAACCACAGGTGATCGGTTTTAAGGTGATCGCTGACTAGAAGAATGAATTCCCATCTACTGACCACGGATTTTCAATGAAAATCGGCCGATCAATCGGGACATCACCAATCAAACTCATAAAACCTTGTCTTTTTAATAGTGGATTTCCTTGAAATACAGTAGTATAAAATAAATAAGATCAACTATGTTTTAGTGCACTTCCACAACATACTGAAAATACCGCCGTATAGCAAATCTTTCACAGTATGGGAAAAGCAAGTGTTTCCAAACAGCTAGATTGGTTTCACCTTTCTTGACCAAAGGCGTTTTCCATCATCCTGGCTCGAGCTAAACTAAACTAATGCCACAGCCTGGCTGAGAGGGAGTCTGAGCTTTTAGAGAAGTGTGAAAAAGGAAAGGGGTGCGCTGGATTCATAACACAAGACAAATGAAGAGCGTATTGCAAAACAGAAAGCAGCACAATGATCACTTTATCTTGATTATCTTGTTTTTATAATCATTGGAAGCCAAAATCGAAATTAAAAAATCAATCATGCAATCATAGATTGGACATGCACACTCATAGAAAAATCATTAGACAGAAAATTAATCTGAAACTATTTTGATAACTGGTTAATCATTTAAATCAAAAATCCCTCGTTCCACCCTCTCAGACATACTGACTAACTGCTCTTATTTGTCTTCAGGGAGAGTAAACTGCAGATCTTTGAGTTTAGGACTGACATCAGATGGGTATTTTCCACCATTTCCTCACATTTTATGGAGCAATCTATTTATCAAGAAAATAATCTGCAGATTATTCAACAATAGAAATAATTATCGGATGCAGCCCTGTATTTGTCCCTTTTTTTTGCTTTTTTTGTATTAGCAAAGAGCGACATTCAAAGCCTTCAGGTAACATGCTTTTCCACTTTAACTGTAACTATTGTTTTCTCCATTTGAAATGACAAACATCTCCAGCAGCAGATTATATAAACTGCATGTAATTAAAGTTGATCATGTAAGTAACTTGGCTGTCGTCTGGTTAATGTGCTTAGCTGGTGTGGTCCCGACTGCAGAACCAAAAAGTTTCATTTACGCTGACCATGACTCCATGACCGCAGGTGAACTGTGTGTGTGTGAACAGTTCAACAACAGAGTGGTGAGACTTCTCCACTGAAACGATCCTGTTGATCTCATCACACCAGTTCCCCTGATCTTATGTGACAAAGAAGTTCTGCAAACTCCCCTCTGTATTTCATCGTATCAAACACATATTCCGTCATCTCCTTCTCAGGTTACTAACTACAGCTATTGAGCAATACACTGCCTCTTGAGTTATTTTTTACTTTAGTAACAGTTGATGAAAGCTGAAAAACAAATGTTGAGAAGTGGATTTACAATTCACCTTTTGCCTCATGGTGTTGGAACTCTACACATCATCTTTAAGCAATTCTGTGTTCGATCTGACCAGGCCATCCGTGTGATATGTGACATTTCTGTTGGTTGTTGAACTTTCACCACCATCTATTTTGTATTTAATGGTCTCTTTAATGTCTTTTCCTGTTGGTCTCTGCTAAAGGAGGGATTGAGAGAGGAGATGCTTGAGTACAATTGTTTGTGGACTTAGATTCAGGACGCAGATCTGATGCTTCATTCAGACTGGGCAAAACTCAAATCCCTGCACACTGACACACGCTTAACACCTGTCCTGCAGAACTGGTGCTGGCATTATTTGTGTGACAGTTTAACCTAATGATTAACTCAACTGTGTGCCTTTTACATTACTGATTACTGAGGACTGTTGCAGATTGACTACTGGTAATGAAAGGAGAGCAGCTGTGTTACAGCTTTGATTTGCCTTTATAAGCTTGGTATGGCTTCAATAAGACTTATATAAGAACTGCCATTCTCTCAGGATCAGCAGCATGTTTTGCTATATAAAAATAACCTTGACAGCGTTTTGAATACCAGTGTAAAATATACTGGCACAAATGCAAATAGGGTTCTTTGACCCTTTGATCATTTGTTAATTTGCCCTGCTTCCATCATAAAGGTGAGAGCTGAACTGAGAGCATTAATAGCATTAATGGATCAAAGGTTGCAGATCGGATGCAGACCGGACTCTCAGTCACCCAGTGACCCCAGCAAACCCTGACTTTCGACCGCGGGCAGCGTTAACTAGGAGCTGGGTCAGCATCTGAGAACAGACGGAGGGTTAGCAGGCGCATAGATTAACCCGCTCAATAAATGATGACTCAGCCGAATGCCTTTTGTCTCCTAAACACATCCCAAGCAGCTGGAGAAGACAGACATCCAGACACGCAGGGCCCGCGTACACAGCAGCTCAGCACAGCTTGATGTGACTGAGGTAGTAACCCGCAGAGCAACAAAACAAACCTAGCTAATTTTGCTAGCTAATGCTGGTATGTAGTTGCTTGATTTGCGGACGTAACAACTGAAGCAGTTCCTGTCTTCCTGTTGTGGAACAGCGGGAGGGAGAAAGACAAGGAGGCCATCACCAACCAGTGCCATAAGAACAGTAATAACCGGTAGAAAACTGGGCAGACATCCAATTGTACGTCAGAGGCTGCCTCGTTAGCCTGTCAGCTAGCTAGTGGCTACTGGAGAGCAGCAGATTTAACGTGAAGCTAACTCACCTCATATTGGATGTACTGTTTTCTCCACTCCGGGGTGATGTGCGCTGAGAGATGCTCCGTGAATTTCATGGTGACAGTCTTGGTGGTTCCCCCCTCGGCCGCCTCTACAGTAACCAGGACCGGGTCGGTTCAGTTGAACAGAAGGGGGTTTCTGCCGTGATGGTTCACCAACGTTCACACTGGAACTCTCATCCGAAGATTACGATCGGGCTGCTCGGTCAAACACACAGAGATGCCCTTTTCGTCTTCACGTTAACCGCGATAGTTACCGGCACATATTTCTGTCGTTTGAGACACATTCGACGGAGGTAGAGTCACATCTTAGCCACAGAATAATGCTTCAATTTTGCTTCAATCTCAGGCGCCAATGTCGCAAATTTAGCGTTTAGTTTCTGGTTCACAGGCTCCCAGTGTTGGCGCTAGCTGGGTCTTGCTATCTCCCCCCTCCTCCTCCTCCTCTCTCTCTCTGTCGTTCAGCCTCAGCTCTCTCCACCTCCCGTCTCCTGCGGCGTTCAGGTGCAGTTGGAAATATTTAAACGAGTCAAACCTGAGTGCAACCGTTAGCGGGTGTGCGGCATTCCTTAGGAAACTGGTCGGTTTTAAACTTAATGAGCTTGCTGTCATAGAAGGAGGAGGGCTGAACTATACAGTCAGTGCATCAGCACAGGAACAGCTGTCATTTGATGCTTTACTCACACATTACTGTTCCTGTACATCAACAGATGGGGTTTTTTTCTCATTCACTCTGCTGGATTTTGCTTGTGCTTTAACAAAGATAATTTTGTTGAACTTCCCCTCAGACCAAAAAGACCAGAAAATTTTCACATCTAAAATGAAAGACACCTTTAAACAACGAGTTAGCCTACCCTCGGGTCCTCGAACGGCTTCCACCAGCATCTCTATCCTTCATGTGTTTCATTAAATCTAGATAGATTTCCCTAGATATTTTAACCCTAGCCAATATGACAAAATGTGAATCAATAAAGAATGCATCCTCAGCGTAGTATTCTGTTCAGGCCTGTGTCTCTGAGAAACATTTCAACATGGAAAAATCAGTTTAATTTCATCTCTTTGATGCTGTTTCCTCTCAATTTTGTTTATGCATTGTACATCAGTGAACAAACATTATATAATCCAATAACACCTGAATGCCACATACGTGACGTTGCCAGTCACCTTTGGGAGAAGATGACGTAGATGTTGATTGTCTTTTCTGTGTGTGTGTGTGTGTGTGTGTGTGTGTGTTTGTGGAAAGTTTCCATCACATATCCTCTGTGTGTTTCTGTTTGACTTGATGAGAATCCAGTCACAAGATCCATAAATAAACACACATGGAAAAATGAAGCAGAATGATACATACCTGACAACAACCTCACACTCACTCATGATTTATATATTATTTTTTTGTTTTGTTTTGTTTTTTTTTGTTTTTTTGTGGGGGGGGGGGGGGGGGGGTCGGAAGAATGGAAATATAGCAATGGAGAACAATGAAAATATCCTGTAGGAAGTGATGACAATAACATCACATGCACAGGTTCAAAGAATAGAAGTCCAACAGAAACCTACTCCCCACTGTTACAAAAAAATTCCTAGAAATATAAAACATGACTGCAGCTTTGTTCTTAGCTTTAATCCTTTGACACACTGGTCGTAATTTAAATACTTTAAGTCCCGGACCAAACAAAACTCACACAGCCATGGGTAAGTACTGGGATTGTGCCTCTGAAGGAGGACCATAATACATGTTCCCATTGTGCCTTTAGTAAAGCTATGACTGATTTGTCTTCTACTTATTGAATATAACACCTGTAACCAATTCTTTTACATACACATCCATTTCACATACTTGTCTTCAACAACCTGCTGAAGAGACTGTTGTGTTATTTGGAGTGGGAGGGAGGTTCTTAATTAATGTTTGAATGTTCTGTTCACTATGTAAATTTAGAATGAACAAAAGTGAATGAAGGTCAACTTGTTAAGAGAATCTAATTTTTTTTTCAGTGGCAGGACATTTGATGATCTAACTCTCTGGACACTTTCTGACATTTCTGTAAGTCATACAGATGTTGTTGTTGTTGTTTTCTAAGTCTCATGAGAGAACAGCTGCCAATTCAGTTATTTTCAAGGGGGGTGTTGGTGATCAGAATAATAGCACTCTCTGGTGTTTGATTGTGACATTGCAGCCCTTATGTTAGGGTCTCTGAACTGTAAAGCTTGGTTTGTACTTCTGCGTAGGTTTGAGGCTGAGTCTACGCAGGGGGCCTGCCCTGCCTTGTGTCTGCATCACTGTGATACCAACACACTAGTTGGTGGTGGGGTTTCTAAACCACTGTGTGTGTACTTCAAATAATGGTGAGTGTAACTGAATGGATAGTAGACAATAGTAGTTATATAGTAGTTATAGTATAGATAGTGGACAATAGTTTCTTTAATTGAAATGACAGTGCCACGTCACAATAAGACTCGGCTTATAAAGGATTTATAGATGGTTTACAACCAGTTTATTAATCAGCTTGTTAACACTTTATAAATCGTTTATAAGCTGTTATAACACATTAGATAAATAGCCCGATAGTGACAGCCTCATATCTCATCAGTTACTCAGCTTTCTTTATTTTCTCCATCATCAGCATTTGTAGCTGCTGCTTCATCATGTTTGCTCAGTTACTGGCAATGAAGCACCGTCAGATTCTTAATGGTCAAACACTTTCATCTGGCAGATCACATGATCACATCACATGACCAGATTCATCCTCTAAGGTCTTGGCAGTGTTGGTAACCTCGACCTGCTCTCAGCAGCCGTCCTCACTCTAATCCCAGCTGTTGATCAGATTGTTCTGCTCAGTGGAGATCAACATGCAGATGCTTTTCACTGATTGGTCTCTTCTTCAGGACTTCAGCATCCAGGTAGAAGACAGGTGGGAACCTTCCTTTACCTGGTGAACTGCTCACCCGTCCTTTGTCCCCCTGTTCACATCTCTGTGATTCTCCCTCCATCATCTTCATGTTTCTTCATCTCATCTTTACAACCATTTATTTATCACTTACAAACATTTATAACTGGTAAAAGGGTGAAACACATCATCATTTATCAATGAGTTGCTATTTAAACTGGTAGCACATTAATAAATGATGATGTGTTTTACACGCTACAAACAAGGGTCCTTTTTTACTAGTTATAAATGGTAGTAAGTCATTAGTAAGATTAATGAGTAGCAGAGGTGGACAAAGTACACAACTTCATTACATCAGTCAAAGTATAGATACTTCTGATCAAATATGACTCTAATACAAGTGAAAGTTGTTCAGTCAAAATATTCCAAAAAAAATTTTTTCCATCAACTCATTATTGTATTTTTCCACATTTACCACATTACAGCACTGACTGACTGACTGACTGACTGACTGACTGACTGACTGACTGAATGTAGAACCTGTAGAATAAAACACTTGTAGAATATGATACAAAACTGATAGAAATGGCCATAAAAACACAATTGAATCAACAAAACGACGCCAACTACAGGCTGTTTTTTCTGGAAATAAACATTTAATACCTTGACATGCTTTCTGAAGTTGGACAGCAAATTTCTGTAGAGTGATGAAGTTTGGTCGTGTTAAACACAGCAAACATTTAAAAACTAAAGGAATTTTTATTTAATTTGAAAATTTTAAACATGGACTTGAAGCATCTTCTGCTTCATCTTTATCTAGGAGCCATCGTTAGGACAGTGCCATGTTCAAACTGAATGGTTTAAACATGGTTTTTCTCCTGTGATGATATTTGTCTTTTAAGTGCAGTGGAGTCAAAGTCATAAGTTTTTCCAAAAAATAATACTCAAGGAAAGTACAGATACTGGAAAATATACTGAATCACAGTACACTGAGTGGTAAGCATTAACTTGATCTTGCCAAATAGTAAGCTGCATCAATGTATGAAAACTGTGTTATAACTTGTTTATAAGAGTTTATTTATGAGTTATAAACTGTTAATAAACTGAATCAAAAACCTAATTATAAACCATTCATAAATCCTTTATTAGGATTGTCTTATTGAAGTGGTTGGAGGAGAGAATGTGTTTGACCACTGAACTGATTGAGGCAGTAGGGGGAGTTTTCTGTACTCGTCCAACCTCTGAGAAACACGGACCAGACACGCTACCAAGCCAACCAATGACAGTGGTCTGCGTCCCCACAATGCATAGTTGTATTTTTAGAGAGGTGCCTGCCACACTAATAGCAGCCTTTACAAACAGATCCATGGAGTTTCTCAACTTTGTTTTTTCAGTTCTACAACTCTGAGAAAGTTATTAGTTATGTAACTTCACCTGCTCATCCAAGTGCTCAAAGTGTCCAGAATATTTAGTCCAGACAGCATTTCTCTGCCCTTTAATGTGAAAACAGAGAAAAAATGAAATGACAATTTATAATGCATATATATATTTATATATATATATAATTTTAAAGAAAACATTTTTAAAAAATGGAAACTTATTTTCACTCATTTGGTTCAAATCTTATGAAATGTTGTAAATGTCTTAAGATCGACAGACAAACTGTCAATCCAACACCTTTAAAGTAGGTCTGAGGTCAGTCACCATGTGAGCCTGTTGTGCCACCTAGAGGTCAAGACACAAGCTGTTTCTTATTATACTGTATGTCATTGCATGTAGGCATAACTGCTCTCTAACACTGTATAAACATGTATGGAGTTAAAAGCTGACAACAATAACAACATAACACCCACTATAGTAGAAACATTTTTTCCATGTTTTTTGACACAAAACCAACCAAAAATAATAGGAAAAGAAGAAACTCAAAACAAGAATGCTCCTGTTTAAACAAATGCAAATTTATACAAAATGCAGTAATTAATTCCATTATATGTAAAATATAACATGTCTTTAGAAAAAAATATGGACATAATAATGATAATAATAATAATTAAAAAACTCTGAAACTGTCCACAGGAATCACTTCTCCACAGGATCATCTGTTAAATGTAAATCATTAACATCATTAAAGAAGAGCCTCCGTATTTTCTATTATGCCTGTTTAGGTTATTCTTTCTACCGGAAGCTTTGATAATATTTCTCTCATCCACTGAGCCATGCCTGGTGTGTCAAAGTGTTTCCATAAGTGGAACACATATATAACACATTTTAAAACCAGCTGACATCTCTAAATGCTTGTTCATTGATATCATCGTTATAATTCTCTGGATTTAAGCCGGACAGAAACGGTTCAGGGTCCAGCGATTTGTTTTGAAATAATTTTTGTTGATTACAACACTCATCCATTGCCAAATATAAAGAAACCATGTTCCTGAGGTTTCTCTACATTTTGTGCACGCGTCAGGTAGATTTTTCATTATATGGATTCAATTCCACTGGTGTTACATATGTTCACATTACAAGCATTTATAGACTGAGTATGAGC